TGGGGGACACAATTCAAGCTTCAGTGAGTTTTGGGGGGACATAATTCAATCCACTACAGTTGGTTTGGTTTTGGTGTCTGGCCGGTGTGGGGATCCGAACTCTTGACCTTAGTGTTACCAGCCCCACACTCCATCCAACCAGCCAGCCTAGTTGTCTGGTTTTTATTCTCTCCACTAGAAAGTACATTTTGTGAGAGCAGGTTTACCTTCACCACTATATTCCTAGTGTTTAGCATATCTGCTATTTTCTCAATAAATCTTTGCTATATGATTGGATGACTGATTTTCAAAGGCATTTTACAAGCCAATGTGGGCTGAAGTTTTGGTTAAAAATGAATCATGAGCTGGCCGGTTAGGTTACTTGGTTAGAGCGAGGTGCTATAACACCAAGGTCCAGGGGTTGGATCCGTACGGGGCCAGCTGCCAAAAAAAAAAAGAAAAAAATCATACGTGGGCTACAATGCAAACTACTCAGGTGATGAAAAGAAACCTCTAAAACACGGCTGCGTTGGTGCTTGCATGGGCAGCAAGAAAGAGACAAATTATGCCCATGTGTGGGGCCTGGAAAATTTCATTGGGAAAAAGAATTCAATTTTATTAAAGGGAAAAACCGTGTAATTTAGAATGGAGGAATTAGTGTTTAGTGTAGTTATTTCCTATGAGACTTTCAGGACTGGCCAAGGACTGCTGCTGTAAATGATTCCTGTTCTCTATTAGCTGGACCATTACTGTGTCACTGTGTCAGCAGACACGTGGATTCTCTCCATACTATCATGCTGTCTATGGCAGTACCATTGAAAGTGCTGGTCCACAGCTGTTACCAGATCGTGATGAGATTGATAAGGAGTTTACACCTGAATGTGAATACTTCCTTCCTTCATTGAAAATGGCTTGCTATGAGGGCCGTCTGGTTAGCTATTAACACCAGGATCCTGGGTTTGATTCCTATATGGACCAGCCACACCCCCTGCAAAAAAAAAAAAATCTAAAAAATAAAACAGAATGCCTTGCTATGAAAAATATCAGTTCAGTTAGGCAGCACACCTGGTCATATAGTGGACTGAAATGAGGTACAAGCCCCTTGTTTTTTTGGAGATCCATAGAGACTGTTTGCAGACTGGCTGTGGTCCGTGGGTCATAGTATGACAAGTGCTGTGCTAAGTATTTTTTATGCCTGTGACTTAACTCCTCAAATAAAGCACAGGCTCATGTCAGATACAACAGTTGCTGTTGGGTACATCACAGCCATTCAGTGAGAACTTGATGGGGGACTGACCTTGGGCTGGGGAGGACAGTGGCTTCCTCGACACCCAGAACTCCATCAGCCCCTTCACTCCTCCTGTTTCATGATTTCCCTTGCTGTCTCTGACCTGCAGAATAAAATCTTCATCTACCGGGGGAAGGAGTATGAGAGGCGAGAAGACTTCAGCCTGAGGTTGCTGACACAGTTTCCCAACGCTGAGAAGATGACCAGTACCACGCCCCCTGGAGAGGACATCAAGGCCTCGCCAAAGCAGTGCATCCTTGCCCTGGGGAAGTGGCCCGGATGCTCTTGAACCTGGTACAGCCCCAGCCAAGCAGAGAAGCAAAGGGTTGCAGCCCTTTCCCCGCAGGCACAGGTGTCCTGATATCGAACCACTCCAACTCAGGTTCCCATGCTCTGTACAATGTTTGGGACCCTAAAATCCTTAGCTGATGGTTATGAGAAATTAAAGGGGAAAAATGATGAGCATATCTTGGAGATGAAAGGATATATTTTATAGCCAGATGGGGAACTTGAGGAAAGCATAGACTTCCTGTTCTGAACTCTGGATTCTGTTAGAGACTTTGAAACAGTATATCTGCATTAGGTGTGAGGGGTGGGGGCTGCTATTTTAAGACTAGATCATTAAATCAGGGAAGGCTCCCTTACCGCTGAGCTGGTTTTGAAGCCTGACTTCACCACTTAACAATTCTGTGATGTTGGGTTTTAACCTCTCTCATCCTCAGATTCTTCATCTGTAAAAGGAGAAGAGGAATATCCATCTTGTAGAGTTGTTGTATATATGGGAGATTACATCTAGTATGGTGCCCAGCTGTGGTACTCGATAAACAGATGGTATCCAAAGGTAAAAGCCATTCCTGTTGCCTGGGCTCTGGAGTCTGGCTCTTTCAGAGGGATGCTTATCCAAAAGAAATTACTTAAAACCACTTGTAACCACCTATTTCCTGTTGTTTCAGTAAGTCTGTTTTCCTTTGGCAAGGATGTTTGCCAGGTGTCTAGCCAAAAAAAAAAAAAAAAGTCCCAGGATTGATCACATTTTGGTGTGACACATAAAGTCCTGGTATTTGGGTAGAAGGGGATGATTGGTGCCGGTGCCATTTCCAGCTGTGAATCAGTAGAAATGGGGGCCTTGCTATCTGCACCTTCCCGGCCAGCCTCTCTCCTTTCCTTAACGAGCTCCTCAGACATACAGTGCTTCACCGTGAAGCCGGTGATGAGCCTGCCACCTGGCTACAAGGATAAGCCCGTTCCGGAGCAGATCTTAAAGTAAGTGGTTCTTTTTTGAGAAAACAATTGTTTCCATCACATACGTTAGTGGGAATACATCAAAACCAAAGCCTTAAATTCATTGCTGTTTTGAAAAGCTTCTATCTAATCTGTTCTGAGTATAAGATGAGAGCTTGGTGATTCAAAGGATTGTAGGGCTTTTGCGTTTTTTCCAGGCAGAGGGAAATCAGGAATTTCACTCCTAGGTTTGGATCCTTTTGCTCTTATTTCCACTCAGAAGCACCACTGAGGAGCGGCAGATCCCAAGTGATTCTCGCTCTCTTGAGAAGCTAAACTGCTAATGGGGATTGAAAGAACTGGTATAAAACTCTATAAGAGGGGCCGGCCCGGTGGCGCACTGCGATAGTGCACCCCTTGAGAAGCGCGGCGGCGCTCCCGCC